CTCGGCGGTGTACACTATTATTACGGGATCGAGTCGTTCGCCTCGGCAGAATCGTGTGTAATATTCGATAAGGAGTCGGCGTACCTATGAGTCCTTCTGACTTGAGATGTGACATTTTATTGGTTATTGATCTTATATATGTTCCACTCGAGGTAATATTCAGTATTTGGGGATTTTGGATTTATTCTTCTGTTGAGGATCGTGTGATGCACATATATATGTTTTTCATTGCTTTTACTATCCACGTTTTCCCAAATATCCTAATTAAGCATCAACAACTTTTTTTTAATAAAAGCAACTATGAGTCAATAGAGCCATTTAAATCAACGTCAAATTACTGCAGGAACATCATTTTACAGTTTGGCGAGATGACCGAACACTGTTAAGTCAGAACTCTCCTCCACCATTCTTGCCAACTTTTCTCCATACTCCTATGCCAGGAAAGTAAGCTCATTTATCACGCAAACTATCTAAATTCGACTCATAATACTCAAATAGATTGCAAGGCAACAAAGCAATTATTGGGAAACCAACTAGTTAAGCAAATTTATCAGAATCGCAAAAAATTCCACATTTCAATTTTCAATTAAAAAAGATAGAGGTTGTTATTGCTAGAAAAGGGAGGGTTATACTTTGAACTCTTTCACACAACTGGAATGAAATAATACGTTACCAAGTTCCATCTGCCAATCAAAGCCTGCTCAAAAGTCCAAGTGACCCCCACCCGCACCCCAAAAAATATTTTCTCAGAAAGATATAAAATAAAGAAAAAGTCATAAGCAAAACGAATCCAAGATCCTAATCGTTTCCTAGAACAAGGATTTTGCAACACCAGCATCATAATTTTTTCATATCAACTTACAACCAAAAAATAATTACTAGCCGCATCTCTCTCAGTTTTGTATCTTCGCTCAAAATTACAATTAATTCCAGAATATACACTATAAACTGTGTGTAATAGGGGTGGTGGAGTAACAAATGCTTAATTTCTCGTGTCTCCTTGTACTTGACACACTAACTAATGTAAATTGTTCTTTTCCTCAAATTATTTGGTGTTATGATGGCTCCCCAAACTACTATCCAAGTGAATAAAGGCACTTTCCTCAGTGTTATAGGAATTCAAATTGAGGCGTGAGAAAATTCCAATTTTCTCTCTCGTAATTGGTATTTGTCATTGAAGGGCAGTTTGTTGAGCTCTCCTGCCTCCCCTCCCCACCCCCCAAAAATAAAAACCTACAGATATCTTCTTATACGTAGATACCATAAGATTCCACCTTGGGCAACTATTTCTGTTTGCCACATCACAGTGAAGATGGGCTGAAAAGCTTTAAATTAAGAGACATTTCTGCACCTTTTTTTTTTTTGATGAAATAAGATTCTTCATTCCAAGGCATCAAGAAGATGCAAAATTACAAAGAGGATAAGTGTTAGCTCCATTACAACAAAAAGCTTACTTAGCACAGGGAGCTAGCCACAACACAAAAGTAGAAAGTAGCTAAGTTAGAGCAATTGAGCCAATGAAATCTACCAGGGAAACTACATTATTTACCGGGGTTAGAGAGTTCCAACTAAATAGGTACACAAGGCATTTAGCTTTGAGAGTGGATAGGAGTTGAAATGCCATCAAAACAATCCTTTCTTGCCAAAGGCACCAAAAAATGCTTGTTGGGATCATCTTCCAGACCTTCTTGATGGTTCTGTCAACTTTCCAACTGTTCCAACCCTCCACTGCCTCCCAGATACCCTGTGGTTGTGTCCAGCTTATACCCAGTATAGAGAGAAACATATACCACATGTCTGCTGCCACTGGACAATGCAAAAATAGATGATTGATTGATTTAGAGTTTTGCTGACACAGGTAGCATCTATTGACCAGCTGAAAACTCCTTTTACAGAGATTGTCTTGGGTGAGGCAAGCATCTTTGAGTGTTGTCCAAGTGAAGCAGATAACTTTTGTAGGGAGCTTTGTCCTCCAAATAAGCTTCCAAGGCCAAGAGTCAATGATTCCATTGTGCTCGCACATGCGCCTGTAGCCTGACTTCACTGTATATGAGTCTGTACCACACCCTATCCAACTAAGCCTGTCTTGGGTCTGCTCATTTATGGTAAAGTTTCCTAATCTACCAAGTAGAACAAATAGACTATTCAGCTCCCCGTCATGCATGTTCCTTCTGAAAAGTGGAACCCAAGAGTTTCCTAATCTATATTGACTTACTGTGGAGTTGGGGTCACTAGCAATCAGGAATAGCAGTGGAAAACTCTCTTTCAAGGGGCAGTTGTCTAACCAATTATCTTCCCAGAATCTTACATGCAACCCATTCCCAACCTTGAAAGAAATATTCTGAGAAAATTCCTCCCAAAGGCTGCTGATGTATTTCCATGGCCCAACACCACGGGGGGTCTACTGAGTTTGGTACACCAGTGGCTCTGTTGACCATGCTTGGCTATCACCACCTTCTTCCACAGGCTAGTGTCTTCCTCACCAAATCTCCCTAGCCATTTCATTAGCATGCATTTGTTGTGCTTTGCTACGTCTTTAATTCCAAGTCCACCAAGGTCTTTAGGTTGAGTCACTTTGGCACATTTAACCAGGTGAAACTTATGTCCCTCGCTATTCCCCTTCCATAGAAAATTCTTCCTGTTTGTCCAGCTGCTTGAGCACTTTGCTGGGCATAGGATATAATGACATGAAATAGGTTGGGATACTGTCAATTACACTGCTAATCAAAGTTAGCCTACCACCCATGGAGAGATACTGCATCTGCCATGTCGCCAATCTCTTCTCTACCTTCTCTAACACCCCATTCCACACTTCAGCGGATTTGAATTTGGCTCCCAATGGTAGGCCAAGGTATGTGGCAGGGAAAGAGCCAATGCCACAGCATAGAATATCAGCTAGAGCCTCTAAGTCGAGAACTTCATTAATTGGGTTTATTATGCTTTTTGCCATGTTGATGTGAAGTCCTGATATAGCTTCAAAAATGAGCAGAGTTAGATTAAGATATTGAACTTAATGTGTCATCTGCATAGAGCAAATGTGAGACTCAGATTGGATTCCCTTGAGGTCTTCCAACACTAAAACCATCTAACCAAAGCAACTGCTTTGCTTTGTCCAACATCTTGCTAAGACCCTCCATAGCTAGGATGAACAAGAATGGAGACAAAGGGTCCCCCTGCCTTAAACCCTTTTGGGGTGAGAAGAATCCTACTGGGCTCCTATGTATGAGAATTGAATATTTGACTGTAGTCAAGCTGTATTTAATCCACCTAATCCACCTGCTACCAAATCCCATTTTCCTTAGCATTGAAAACATGTATGACCAGTTAACTTGGTCGAATGCTTTCTCAATATCCAGTTTGCACAAGATACCTGCACTTCTTCTGCACCCGAAAGCCGGTTGTATCCTCGTTTCCTACTGTGACAGAATCATCTCATCCTTTCATTGTACTTTTTTACATAAGCTACACCATATGATTGAGTGGTCTGTTGGGTGCTCTGCCTCTCCTTGTCTCTTCCTAACTTCATCCAGAACCTTTAGAGGGAATTACATTGTTTCCCAATTTAGAAGATGGTTTTTTTCCTCCCCCCCACATACACTATAAGAAGTTTCTTGTAAAGTTTTCCAACCTTTGTGCCAACATACATGGTGTGGGTAGACAACAACAACAACAACCCAGTATAATTCCACTAGTGGGGTCTGGGGAGGGTAGTGTGTACGCAGACCTTACCCCTACCCTGGGGTAGAGAGGCTGTTTCCGATAGACCCTCGGCTCCCTCCGTCCAAGAACTCTCCACCTTGCTCTTGGGGTGACTCGAACTCACAACCTCTTGGTTGGTAGACAAAAATGTAATATTTCAGCATGCTAGAGAGCCGATAGAGTGCTCTTTCTCCCCTTTGACAGATACCTCTTTGGTCATCCAGCAAGTGCCTTTTCAACTCTCTCAACAAGTGGTTCTCTAAGATAAGTCGGTCAATTGCACCCACAGGTAGTTCCAGATAAGTCACGAGGATGGAGCCAATTCTGCTCCGAGGATTTGAATTTATGGAAGGATGTGGTCTATTTGATTTTCAATTATCCTACATCTCAGCAAGCTCGTAGCTAAACTGTTTTACTTCTCTTTAATAAACTTTAAGGCCTTTCCAGCTGTCCCACGTACTCCTAGTCGAAGCTTCTTGAGAAGCTTTCGCTTTATTGACCTAATATGTTGTTGGAGGCTTTAAAGTTGGACCGCTAACTTGGTAGTTCAACAACTATAGCACCTACAACAGCATATCAGCTAGTTTCCATTATATTAGTTATTATTACTTTGGATGTCTTCATGTTTGGTTGACCCAATGAGTTAAAGAATGATTTTACGTCTTTGATATGGAAGAAGCATCCATAATCCTTTTGCAGTAAATTCAAGTTTAGCTTAAATGTTATATATCATAACATATTGTCTGTTAAGGTATTATATATGTTTCAAAGCTGAAAAGCAAGTATAGACATAGTAACCAAGTCATGCGTGGTCATCCGTTGGCTGCATAAACACATTTCAGAAAATCAAGGGCATTGCAGTTTCAAACCCTAACTTTGCACTCAAGTCAATAATAGCTTCCTAGCCCATTAACATAAGATACAATATAGAGTATTCAACGTAATCAGTACCAGTCTCATGAGACCAAAACTATAGGAATCAAAAGTTCATTGTATTTAACTATCCATGCATGGGATTTAAAGAACTAGGAAGAGTCAACAACCTAGAGAGAGTAGGCTTACGAAAAAGAACTTGCTATAGTGAACAACTATGATTTTCGGTATGTACATCACTAAGCTATTCACTATTAATATCATCCCATCTAGCATTCATGGTTGCTACTAGTTGCAAAATTTATACTCAGTTTGGCAAAAATAGCAGCAAAATAATAGGAACAAACAGCATTGTGATCTTATCATAGTAACATGAAGAATAAGTGTGTACATCAAACCCACTAAATACTAAATTGAACTGTACTTACATTTCCCGTATGGAATTAAAATAGATGGCGTTCTTATTTAGAACGAGTGACAAGAATGACATCAGCGCATAAACCTGTCAGGGAGACAAGGAGAACTACTTTAATTTATCGAAGTGATAGCAGAAATTGAAAGATGGAATGTAACTATGAATTTCTTAAGGATTTCAGAAGTCAAGCTTGTTAGTTAGCACCTATGTACTGGGAACAATCATTTGTTAACCAACATTAACACCATTGTGTCCAGATATAAATAAATAGGATGACCTTCTGGAAATAAATGCAAAATTTGTGGCTAATGCAACATACTCTAACAAGTCCATAAAGCTGGAGTACTCACTGTGAATAATAGCACCTTGAATTTAGATTTGAGGGAACACAACAATATCCTCTATGCAATAAAGCACAAAATCCTACAACTAATTCTGCCAAAATTATAATCGACGAAGCTCCATTAAACAACTGCATTTAAAGCCCGCTTTATGCACTGAAGATTTACTTTGACTTATCAAGAAAATTCAGGTCAGATACCATGTAGCCATTTTTACGATGCTAATACTATTTTTCTGGATTCTATTATTACGGATTTATTGTCTCTGAGCCGATGGTCTCCCGGAAACAGCCTCTCTATCCCTTCGGGGTAGGGATAAGGTCTGCGTACACTCTACCCTCCCCAGACCCCACTAGTGGGATTCTTCTGGGTGGTTTTTGTTGTTGTTGTATACCATGTAGCCATTCTTTCTTCTATTCCAAGCCAAAGACAATATAAGAAATGAACTGCATCTAAGGTCAATACTGTTAGTTTACAGATATGTATAGTGTAGTTTTGTCCCACATTGGAAGAGCAGATATATCTCCTTGTATTGTATTTATTATCCAATATCAATAACATATTTTCTCCCGTGCTTTCTCACATGGTATCAGAGCATTAGTGAGAAACCCGTCGTTGTGCATCATTCCAGCGACTTCCGGGAAGAAAGACATCTTCGCCGTGCAATTTTCCGGCGACTTAGAAGGTTGTCCGTAAGCAAATCACTTTCTGTAGGTGTTGGGCAAAAACCAACACCACCACAAGACTCCTCAGGCTCCGGCGACCAAACCCCAGTCAACCCCACCTGAAAACACACGTCCACGCGCCCTCACGCGCTTGGAAAAGAAAAAAAATTCCGGCGAAATATGACCCACGCGCCGGCGCGTGAGCACTGTTCCGGCCAGATTTTGAAAAAGTTCCGGTTGAACATTAGGATCGCCTGGTAATTCCGATCCTACCCTCACTGGTTTTGTTTCATTCCGACCACTTTGAGTTTTCCGTCAGCTATAGTAGATTTCGGCGAGCTACAGTGTTTCCAGCGTGAACAGTGTTTCCGGCGCAGAACAATGATCTGTTTTCCTGCTGTAAACAGTGTTTTTCAAGCTTTTTCTTCAATATTTTCACAGGAGTTACTTATTTCTACTATTTCAAGTTAACCCTACTACTACAAATTGTAGCGACTTCTGAGATAGCTTCTGTTGTTCAAACAGGTAATAGCGTGACTTGTTTCTCCCAATCTTCATCCTCTCAATCTTGGGTCATTGATTCAGGTGCATCAGATCATATTTCTGGTAACAAATCTCTTTTCACTACTATTTCGTATTCTCAATCTCTTCCAAAAGTCACAATGGCCAATGGGTCTCAAACAATGGCAACTGCAATAGGTCAAGCAAGCTCACTTCCTTCCTTACCTTTAGATACAGTCCTTTATGTTCACAATAGTCCTTTTAATCTCATAGTTGTTAGTCGCTTTAGCCAAATCACTTAAATGCGCTATTTTATTTCTTGATGACCATTGTTAGTTTACAGATATGTATAGTGTTGTCTTGTCCCACATTGGAAGAGGAGTAATATCTCCTTGTAGTGTATAGCTATAAATAGGGACCTCTTGTATTGTATTTATCATCCAATATCAATAACATATTTTCTCTCGTTCTTTCTCACATAGTATCAGAGCATTAATGAGAAAAGATCGTTGTGCGTCATTCCAACGTTAACCGGGAAGAAAGAACTTAGCCATCGTGTAATTTTTCCGGTGACCTAAGGCTTGTCTAAGTGAAAGTCACTTTCTGTCGGTGTTGTGCTAAAACCAACACCACCACGAGGTAGATCACCCTCCGACGACCAACCTCTGAAATTTTATCCGGCGGAAAAGCCGCCACGCTCCTCCACGCGCCGGCAACAACTTTTCCGGCGAGGGTTCCGGCAATTTTTTCGCGAAGCTTCTTCAGGACAGTGTGCTCTCCTTAAAATTCCGAGCCTACCCATCTAATTCAAATCAAATTCCGACCACTTTAATATTTTTCCGGCGTGAACAGTGACCTTTCCGGCCATTTTTTGAAAACATTTCTTCAGGACAGCTTGCTCGCAAAGGAATTCCGAGTCTATCCATCCTGGTTACGACAAATTCCGACAACTTTGGAATTTTCCGGCGAGCTACAGTGTTTCCGGCGTGAAAAGTGTTTCCGACACAGAACAATTTTCTGTTTTCCTGCTGTAAACAGTGTTTTTCAAGCTATTTCTTCAGTTTTCTCACAGGAGTTACTTATTTCCACTATTTCAAGTTAACCCTACTACTACAAATTGTAGCGACATGGGAACCGATGCTTTGAATAGTCGGATGGTTTCTTTAGCAGAGTATATTGAGTTCCTTCACTATAAAGCATGTAAGCAGACATCTTCTGAGATAGCTTCTGTTGTTCAAACAGGTAATAGCGTGACTTGTTTCTCCCAATCTTCATCATCTCAGTCTTGGGTCATTGATTCAGGTGCATCAGACCATATTTCTGGTAACAAATCTCTTTTCACTACTATTTCGTATTCTCAATCNTTCACCAGATTTATTACATAAACAGTTGGGACATCCCAGTTTGTCAAAACTTCAAAAAATGGTATCTGGTTTATCTCATTTGTCAGCTCTAGAGTGAGAGTCATGTCAGCTCGATAAGCATACCCGCTCCCATTTCCCTCGGCGTCTTGATAATCGAGCAGAGTCACCTTTTACTTTAGTCCATTCAGATGTTTGGGGTCCTAGTCGGGTCAGTTCCACCTTAGGATTCCGCTACTTTGTCAGTTTCATTGATGATTATTCCAGGTGCACTTGGATATTTTTGATAAAAAATCGATCTGAGGTGTTTTCTATTTTCCAGACCTTCCACGCTGAAATTCAAAATCAATTTGGGGTTTCTATTCGCACATTTCATAGTGATAATGCCCGAGAGTATTTGTCTTCTCCATTTCAGCAGTTTATGAAATCTCATGGGATTATTCATCAAACATCTTGTCCGTACACATCTCAACAAAATGGGGTAGCTGAAAGAAAGAATAGACATCTTATTGAAACTGCTCGTACCCTACTCATACAATTTTATGCTTCATTGCGTTTTTGGGGGATACAGTTCTTACATCTTGCTATCTTATTAATCGTATGTCATCTTCAGCAATCCAGAACCAAGTTCCATTCTCTGTCATGTTTTCCCACTTACCTTTGTTCTCTCTTCCGCCCCATATCTTTGAAAGCACTTGTTTTGTCCATAACCTTACTCCAGGAACAGATAAGTTAGCTCCTCGTGCTCTTAAGTGCGTATTTCTGGGTTTCTCGAGAACACAAAAGGGGTATCGATGCTACTCTCCTGACCTCCAGCGGTACCTTATGTCCGCTGATGTTACCTTCTTTGAAACCCAATCATACTTCACAGGTTCAGGTCATCACTTAGATATTTCTGAGGTACTACCAGTTTCATCTTTTGGACATTCAGTCACTCCAGCTCCACCACCTACAGCTCCAGTTATAGCTCCACCACCTATAGCTCCAATTGTAGCTCCACCACCTATAGCTCCAGTTCCACCACCTACAGCTCTGGTTGTAGCTCCACCAC